CGTCCGTGCCCCCCTGCCACGGGCTCCCTCCAGGTGCTGCCCCCGGCCCAGAAGCCCAGGCAGGGTCCTCTCCAGCGCCCTCGATGGCGTGTGCCTCTCCATTGGCATGGACTGACAGTCCTGGCAGCGAGCTGGCCCCCGACAGGCTGCTCTGCCCGGAGCGGTCCCAGAAGCTGGATGTTGCCTTGTCCTCTCTGTGGGATGCACCCGATGGCGGATGGACCCCGTCCTTGGTCCCCTCACCATGCAGGAGGTCTGGGCCATTTTCTCCCACCTCACTCCCGTTGGTTTCAGAGAAGCTCATCACCTGGAGGAGCTCGCTCATCAGGGAGGGCCCCAGGTCCAGGCGGAAGGAGAGCAGGGAGTCTGAGCGCTTCAGCTCTTCTTCCCCAGGGAAGGGGCTCTCTTGGGCCTTTTCCAAGCGAGGGACGCGAGGGATGGTGCAAAACCCGGACTCCAGGCCTGCAAGGCAGAAGAGATGGCTGGTGAGGGGGGGATGGCTAGATGGAAGGAAGCCTGCCTGTGAGGGGACATCTGCGGGGCACAAGGGACACTGCCACCGAAGTGGCACAGGTTACACTCCCATCGGTGCTGACCTCTAAAGGACAGGCCAGTGTCTCTGTGGACATCTCCAAAGCCCAGAGTTACAGTGGAGGGTCTCCAGGTAGGCTCTGGGCTTGGTAAGATGCCAGCGAGGTCTGAGCCAGGCAGGTGGGACCAGGAGATGGCAGCATTGCCTCAGCTTGCCTTTCCCTCTGAGCCCAGCCACCTCCCCGGCTGCTGCAGACCCCCCACATCCTCCCCACCCCGAGACCCTCTGCTCCAGACCTCCCTCCCTGGGCAAAAGCTGAGCTACAGCCCAGTGCTGTGAGGCTGCAGAAGAGCCACCCAGCTGTCCCGTTCCATCCTTTCCACAACTCTTCCCCAAAGGTCCCTCCTGGACCCTGTCTGGCAGTGAAGGATGTGGGCACAATGGGGAAGGGGGGGATTGAGTCCCTTGAGGAGCACATGGAGATGGAGGGGTTGGCACAGCTAGGGACAAGGTTACAGTATCTGTGTGGAAGTGAGTCCCCTTGACCCTGCATCCTTGGTGTGGGTATTGCCCTGCTGTCCCAGCACCCTCTTGGCTTCCTCGGGAAGGAAGCTCATGGGGAAGTCGTAGGGCTGGGGAGAGATGAGGGGAACCCCCTTACAACTACTCCACACAGGCTTCCAGCTTTGTGGGGCTATGGGGGAGGGAGAAGGAGGAGAAACCATCCATGCTCCACTTTGGGGGACACCCTGGGAGGAGACCTTCCAAGGGCAGGAGCAAGGATCGCGGTTGAAAGCAAGGTTAGGGTTATCTCCTTGCAGGGATTACCAGGACTGGGGACTCTTAAATGTCCTGTCTCTGCTGAGAGCTTAAAGTCCCTCAGTGAGGAAACTCAGGCATGGAGTGATGGAGAAGGGCTGCAGAGGATACACAGTGTATCAGCCTCTGCCCTGCGTGTCACTCACCGTAGGCCTGGTGTGTTTTGGAGAAGCTGTTGGAGGCACTTTTGAAGGAGAACTTGCTGGTCAAGCCCCGGCCGCCGCCGCCATCGTACGTCCCCTCATTGAGCTGCGGCAGTGAGACGGCATTCTTGATGATGGGCGAGACGGCTGGGGGGGCGGGTGATGCCCCCGCTTGGCTCCCACCA